TACATATCCCTGTTTTTTATGAGAATGTTTTACCTCTTCTTTTGTTATCTTCTTCCAAATTACCCAGTGTTTCAATATTCATTCTTCTTCCTCCTTTATTGTACCCATTTACTTACCTTACCTTCTTTTGTAGCTTATGGAAATAACAGTTCTATTAATGTGTCTAAGGTTGTCCCGTTTCATTTTGACAGTACTGCCAATGTACCTACTGATAATACTATTCATGTTTCTGATGTTTTACCGAGGACTGTCTTTTCAGGTCATGTATTTGGTCATGGTTTCTCATTTACTTCTTCAGAATCTGATAATATACCTACTGCTATTGTATCTAATAGTGTTTTGGCTAGTTCCACGTCTAATACACAAGCATTTGTATATGTTTCTGTTGTAGTATCTGCATCCCATAATCAACATGTTGTTCATCCGGTTGATTTTATCCAAAATGCATCAGTTTATCTTGCCAATACTCATTCAATGCAAACTCGTTCAAAGTTTGGCATTGTTAAAAAGGTGTTCCTTGATTAGACTGCTCCTTTGGATGTTACTGAAGAACCCACTTCTTTTACTCAAGCCTCCAAAGTTAGTGAGTTGCAATGTGCTATGAGTGAAGAATTATAGGCATTACTTAAGCAAAACACTTGGTATTTGGTTCCTTGAACTCCACATAAACATGTCGTTGGTTGCAAACATGTGTAGAAGGTTAAATGACATCCTAATGGGAGTATAGCTCGGTACAAGGCTCACCTTGTTGCTAAAGGTTTTCATCAGGAAGAGGTATGGATTATTATCAAATCTTTAGTCCCACGGTACAAAAAAACCTACTATTTGGGCTGTTCTTTCCTTGGATGCCGCTTTTAATTGACCCTCTTCATCAAATGGATGTTAAGAATGCCATTTTTCATGGTGAGCTTCAAAAGAATGTCTCATGCAACTACACAAGTTTGCGTGAGTTCTCAATTCCCATTTTATGCTTGTAAGTTACATAAGTGATCTCTTAATGGTCTCAAACAAGCTCCTCGTACTTGGTTTGAGTGTTTTACATTCGAACCACTTACWTTTGACTTTGTGTGGCATATCCTTTCTTATTTGTTCGCAACGTTGGTGGTTTTGTTACTTACCTCTTATTGTRTGCGGATGACATTATTCTTACTGGGAATGATKTTTTATATATTGATTCTCTTGTTTCTCAACTCATGCACAACTTTGATATGACTGATTTGGAAAGTTTTACATACTTTCTTGGTATGGAAGTGCATAAAAAAATCTACTGGTATTTTTATTTCTCAAGAAAAGTATATTSGTGATGTTATTCTTTGGTTTGGGTTGCCTGAGGCTAAAATTTGTTCTACACCATGTTCTGCTACTTATTTGTTTGYTGCTTCACCACTATGCAGTTCTCATGATGCTTCTACTTTTCGAAGTATAGTTGGTACGATTCATTATTAAACGTTTACACTCCTCCRATGTCTCTGTTTTGTCAATAAAATCTCTCAATTTATGCATGCTCCAACCAATCTTCAACTAACTGGTGTTAAATGCATCTTTCGGTATTTTTGTGGTTCATTGTCTTTGGGATTGCACTTTCATCCAGGTGTTTTATTGCTTACTACTTTTTCAGACACTGTTTAGGTTGGCAATCAGRGTGATAGGCATTCAACTACTAGTTTTGTGGTGATTCTGGATCCTAATCAGATATCTTAGGTTGCTAARAAGCAGTCCATGGTTTCTCCCAGCTCTATTGAGGCCGAGTATCGGGCTTTAGCAAATATTGCTGCAGAGTCGTTGTATTGGCTTTGACAAGTATTGAAAGATTTGTTTGTTTTCCTGACTTCTCCTCCACACTTTTTTGTGATAACTAATCCTCTATACAGCTTGCTCGGAACCTTGTCTTTCATGGTTGTATGATAGCACGCTTTGTGAGMTACATTTCATGAGATTTATATTGARATTATTTGTTAGTTTTCGTTTCTTCATGACAAATTTAAGCACATAAGATGTACTTTTCAGSAATAAAGTATCGAGAGGAAACAAGACTTATTTGGATCAAAATGAGAGAAAAATTGGAATCAAAGTGACCAAGATGGAATAACAACAAGATTTGAAGCCAAAAACCCGAGAAAATAGCGCCACGACGCTGGCCTCGAGCATCGTGGAGCTCTGAAGTTTAAATTCACGTTTTGTGAATAGTGTAGCGCCATGGGGCTGCCGCGACAACTTTTTATAAAAATAGGGTTGTGCAGCCATCGAGAGGGAGGAGTTTGGAAGAAGTTTTCTGGCAATTTGGCTTTTTGGCCAATTTRGAGGGCAAGGAGACCATYAAAGAGGTTAGAAAAGTGATTTTCAAGGCTCGGGGTCATGGAGGTTACTCCGGAGATGGACGATTGACATGCCGAACATAGTTTCTTCTCCTTTCCCTTGATTTTTCTAGTTTTGTTATGGAACTCTCATTGAGATTTTATTGTTTTACATTGAATTTGAGTAGGTAAACCTCTTATCTTAGGGATTGATATAGCCATTAAACTTTATGGATTGRTTGTTTAATTCTTTTGATTGAATGATTATGAATGTTTTATTTATTTTTCTTTATGCTTAATGCCTTTAATCTACTTGTCATAGATTGATTGATATTAGACTTGAAATCTTACACTGGGGAGAGATGATTTTGAGTTAGAATTGAGATGCATAACTAAAGGGATTTTAAGATCGGGAGATCTAAAAGTCCTTTAGAGGTTATTAGAAGACTTGATCAATAAAGCCTTTACTTGTTATGGAAACTAGATAAGGATATTGGTTTCTTAATTGGTAAGGAGAATTAGTTTGCGCTCGGGAGAGGCTGTTGAGATTTGGAGTTCTTGGCCTATAGAATTAATACTTCGTTCAATCTTGAGTAAATTGAGTAGTTGGTTCATAGATTCAATAGGTGAAATCAATTCCCTATGACCTTTCTCCCTATTGTTTTTATCTTTGTTAATGCATGCTTATTTGCTTTGATTATATTCTCCCATTTGATTTTGATTCTCTAAATAAAATTGAGCGATTGTATCTGTGGTACTTGAGTGATCTAGAAACCCAATTCAGGGGACGATATTGATTGGTATTAACTTASCATTTTGTTAAAGCTTGACCCGTACACTTGTAGTCAGCAATTTCTGCTACATTGTAGTGACTTACGTGGAGATTGATCTTCATTTTGTTCTGGAGCTTGTTATCTCTAATGACTTACGTCTTCAATTTATTTCCCAATTGCAGTAACCAGTTGATATTTTTACCAAACCATTGAGTGCTAATCGTTTGGTATCCTTGCGGCGCAAACTAATGGGTGATTAGACATTTGTTTGAGGGGGCATATTTGATTTGTATTATAATTTTGGTTAAGATTTGGTTAGGAAAGATTAGAGACCTATTTGACAGTTGTTTAAAGTTTAAGAACGATTTTCGATAGAAATTTAAAAATTACAAGACAAGACTTGTTATTYACGCAACTTACTATGAAAACATATAAACCAATTAATGTTGTGTACGCAAATTTAAGGCATTCTAATCACTAAAATTATCTTTATACAAATTACCTTTTTAAAAATTTAAGCCCCAACATAAAATTTTGTATCCACCACTGTATGCGACTAAAAATAATATATTTAGTATTTTTAAGTTATCAAAAGTAGACAAAATTTATGGCATTCTAGTGACACAAAAGAACACACATCGTACAAGACACAGCCACAAGATCAAAACAAGGCCAAATAAATGGCAAAATGACTAGTAGGTTTGATTGGAAGCCACACCAAATTCAGCAAAAACCTAAAAACTTGGCTTGTTTTTTTGCTTTATTCTTAGCTACACGTCTCCACCTCTTCATTAAGAGAGCAGTTGAACACCATTAAATTTTATCAGCCCCACTAACTTTTTTACATTCACTTCGTGGCTATTGGGAGGCCAACATGCAATGACAATTGACATCCAATCTAACTTCGCCACATGTTAAAATGTATTTATTTTTATTGTTATCATTATTGATTGAAGTTCTAGATCACAGATTTCATTTCACTTCATTTTCTTCTTAGGATTTAATTATAGTCTTCATCCCTTACTAGGTATAACATATTTAAAAGAAGTCAACAAGTATAGGTTAAATTTCCATCCAAAGTAATTATTTCTTTTTGCTTATAGCAAAGAGTATTAGTGAAATTTAATCAAACTATAAGAATTAATCCTTACGTAATGTCATCAAATTTTTAAGTTCATACTCGAATATATTAAATGATTAAATTTTACCCTAATATTTAACATGCATGTATAGTCCACATTTAGTTGGTTCTTATTCCCTCTCCTAATTAGAAACTCCTAATTGAAAAAGCSCAAGTAAATCAAATTCTTGGAAATTCTCAAGTTTCAAAAGTTTGAAAGCCCATATAAGAAATTGACACAAGTTTATAATTTTAGGTGCGAAAAGTTAATATATATATTTAATATTTGTGTTGGTTTATCTCAACTAAACAAAAAAATATATTTATATTTCACAAAGAAAAAGTAAAATAAAGAAATTCTTTTTTTTTTCATTTACTATTTTACTTGTTTCTCCAACGGGCAAAACTCTCTCTTTTTATTCTCACTCTCGTTTGTCTCTCCCAATGCATTGAAGTATTGTAAGTAGGCACATTTTTAAATAATTGAATAAGAATATTATTTCGGATTTAAATATTCTTCCTTGATAGAAAAGTAATTATCTTTAATAGTCGAGTTATACTCAAATTGATATTTTTCGGCAAGAATATTCACTTCATATCATAAGTTCATATTTTATGTCTCAAAATGCCTTCTTTTCAACATATTTTAACTTTTATTTATGGCAGGTCTTAATATTCAATAAATTAACATATGAAGAACAAACACTTGGCAAATTCATAATCACAAGGAGAAACTAACAGAGATGACAGCGTTGAATCGTCAGCAATTGGAAAAACTCATGTCAGTGGTAGACAAAAAACCCAGCAAGCAGAATGTAATGAAATTATTATTCATTTCCAAAAAGAGAAGAAGAAGACAAAGACACGACCATAACAGAACCTAGTTTGTCGAAGCCTCAATTCTTACTTTTGTTCTTTCTGTCGACTTCCAAGTTTTCTAGTTAAGGTTACTATGTCTTGCATCTCTGTAACATTAGCACAATATGATGTTGAACTAAATTTGATTGTGCCTTGAGAGCTTGTTCTGGAGATTATGATTGTTATGATGCKTTCAATAAATTTAACTACAAGTCCGCTAATATAAGAGGATTAAGAGCCAGTAGATATAGATATGATTTTGCATTTGATTTAAGATGGTTTTTGAAGTTTATGGTTTTGGCACTGCAGATGATCATGACCAAATTGGGTGTCCTGGTTGCTGTTTCAATTGCAGCTTATGCAATTAAGCAGCTCACAATCAGATCATGGAGTTCATCAGCCTTGCCCACCAACTGTTCAGGTTTTGTCCTCACTCAATTTTGCTGATTGGCTCATGCTTATGACTTTTTTACTTCTGTCTCATTTTTGTTTTCTTTATTTGACTCAGAAAATGGAGAAGGCACAGAGAAGAATGTGAGCAGATACCGAAGAATTTTCGTGTTTTGTTTTTACCAAGTTTGAGAGAATCAACTTTGAAATTATTTTGATGCATTTGGTTTTGTACCACTTTTATAATCTTTTGTATGGCAGGGCTTGGATGTAGAAGAACAGAAAGGTAATTCAATAAATGGTGCAGCTAGCCAAGTTAGTGGTAGTTCCTCTGATCCTGAACTTAGAGAGCTTCTACCACGAGATTCTGAAAGTCGGTTGCTTGATTACAACAAGAAAGAAGAAGGCAAAGTGCCTGAATCCCACATGGAAAACAATAAGATTGAGTTGCAAAGATTGCTTAAACTAGTGATGGAATTGGAGGAGAGGAAAGTAAAGCTTGAAGATGAATTGCTAATGTACGACAGATTGAAGGACGGTAAATCCGATGGCACGGAGTTACRAAAGGAGCTTGAGGCCAAGGATGAAGACATGAGTATGCTTAATATCACAATCAGCTCTTTGCAGGCTGAGAGGAAGAAGCTTCAAGAGGAGATAGTGAAGGGAGCATTTATGAAGAAGGAACTAGAGGAGGCAAAGGGCAAGATCAAGGAGCTGCAGAGGCAGCTTCAGCTTGATGCAAACCAAACAAAAGAACATTTATCATCACTCAAACGACGAGTTTCCACTTTGCAGGCAAAAGAGGAAGAGGCCGTCAAGAAAGAAGCTCAACTTTATCGGAAACTGAAAGCGGCGAAGGGATTCGAGTTAGAACTTGGGGAGCTTAAGCAGAAGAATCGACAGCTTCAACGTGAAAAGGAGGAACTAACTTCTAAGCTAGAAGTTATGGAGGCTAGAATCACAACTCTCACTACATTGACAGAGGTTAGTGGCAGCTTAAAGAGCTCATTTTGAGTTTAGAATGTGACAATTCAACAATACATTTCACACTTCTTAATAACTTTTTCTTCAACGGGGAGCTTTGGATGGCATGATGTACTTGTTCTTGAAGGACTAATTTTCTAACTTTGTCCATATGCTGCTTACAGAGTGAAATCATCACTGAGGAAAGAGAGGAGGSCCGAAAGTTAAGGCGGGCAAATGAGGAACTGACTAAGCAACTCGAAGGGCTTCAGATGAATAGGTTTAGTGAAGTTGAAGAGTTAGTGTACCTTCGTTGGGTGAATGCTTGCTTGAGGTATGAGCTTCGAGACAACGAGACATTGGGAGGCGAATCTGCTCTTGATCTGAGTAAGAGTTTAAGTCCAAAGTCGAAAGAGAAGGCAAAACAACTCATGTTAGAGTATGCAGGATTGGGATTTGGACAATTGGAAACAGATCATGAAAGCAACTTTTCCCATCCAACATTCTCTTCTGGGATTGAAGATTTTGACAATACTTCAAGTGGTAGTTCAAGAAGCAGAACCAGTAGTTTCAGATGGAAGGATCCTTTAGAAGCAGCGGTGGCTCATAGTACTGAAACTTTAACAACTCCCTCAGAAGTAAAATTCCAAGTTTCTTCAAGAAACTCTGTCAATTCAGTTGCCACATCATTCCAACCGATGTCTCAATCAGCCGAGGAAAGTGTAAAACAGAAATATTCAGCTTATAAAGAGCATCATAAGTTGAATATAGGGAGAGGGAGAGAGAAGCAGATCAAGGAAAAAGCTGAGAAAGAAAGGGTAAAAAATTCCTGTTACTGGGAACCCGAGTTTGTTCGATTCGATCAAAAATTGATGAAAGCTGAGGTAAAAAATGATGCACCATCTTCATTCTCTTCTACTTATTTGAATGCATTTGTTGCTAGATTGGGAAGATTAAGAACATATATTCATTTCCTTTTGTCTTTTCTTTTTCATAACTCATCTTGGATTTAAGATTGTAAGAGTTGTATGTGCTAAATTAGGTGAAAGCTGATATGGAGACTGAAGGAGATTTGGTTATGCCATTGACAATGGATGTAAAAGCAGTTTCTTTCACCAACATGGAAGATGTCGTCTCATTCGTAATCTGGCTCGACCAAAAAACATCTTCCTTGGTATGCTATTGAATTAACTTCTTTTTTCTCCTAACCCCTTTTGAGTTTAATGTGTCGAGGCTTCATAAATAAAACTAGTATCCATGCACACAAGCGARGAGTATTAAGAATATATATAAAAGATTAAATATATGGTAACCACACATCTTTTTTTTTTTCCATTGATAAGGTTGATGAAAGAGTGATGATTCTCGAGCACTTCGATTGGCCCGAGGGCAAATCAGATGCATTGAGAGAAGCAGCGTTGGAATATCAGAACCTGATGAAACTAGGAGAGGAAGTCTCTTCTTTTGTTGACAGCCCCAAACTCACACGTGAAGTTGCTTTGAAGACAATGCACTCCTTGCTACATAAGTATGCCATGTTTCTCTGATATAATCTATTCTCCTTTGGAAGGAGTTAAGTACCTATAATCATCGGTTTCGATATCGAGTAGAAAGTTTCTTAGTTTCGGTTAGATTGTAACCGTCGTTTGATTCGAGTTGATTGATAGGATGGAGCAGAGTGTCCATGCAGTCTTACGTAATAGGGAGATGGCGATTTCGCAATACGAGGAACTTGGAATTCCAGTTGATTGGTTGTTGGATTCTGGAGTTGTTGGCAAGGTCTGTGAAGGAAAATTTTTTTATGACAATGCATCAAAAGGCATAAGTTTTATGTGTTTGTAGAGAGGCATATAATGAATTCACTTATTTATTATTATTATTTTTAGTATGGCTTTTTATATATTGTATAGCTTTGGATGTAATATTTGTGCACATTAATTTGAAACTGCAGATGAAAGTTTTAAGTGTAGAATTGGCAAGGAAGTACATGAAACGCATACTAAATGAAGTTAATGCACTGAGTGGACCTCACAAAGAACCAAACAGAGAATTTTTGCTGCTGCAAGGAGTGCGTTTTGCTTCTCGTGTTCACCAGGTAACTTTTACTTTTTACTTTTACTTTTTTACTTATACAGCGGGTGAGTTTGATAATTATTTCGTTTTTCGTTTTTTTTTTTTTGAAAAATAGTAATTTTTACTCTTTTCCTTTGTAATATACTTTCAAAAATGTTATCAAAACTTCAGTGAAATTTTAAAATGAAAAAAAAAGTACTTTTGTCGTCTTTATTTTTTGAACTTTAAATGTTTTAATTTTTTTCTAGTTTTTGGCTTTAGTTTATTTTGGTTCTTATACTTTTAAAACGTTCATTGTAGTCCTCGTACTTTTAAAACGTTTATTTTAGTCCTTATACTTTTGACTTTTGTTCATTTTAGTCTTTGTACTTTCACCGTACGTTTTGGTTCATATACTTTTAAAAAGTGTCCAATTTGGTCTCTACTTGCAAAATTTGAACACAATAGAAATCTTTTAATACACATTTATTGACTACATTTTAATAAACTTAGTGAGTGAAGTGTTGTATTAAAATTATGATCATAAGAAATGAGATAAAAAGTTAAGATGAAAGAAATAAAAKAGTCACTTTCTAGAAGTACATGGACCAAAATTGACGTTTCGAAGATACAAAAACTAATATGAACAAATGTTGAAAATACGGGGACATAATGTTTTTAAAAGTGAGACAAAAATAATATTTAAACCAAGAATTTATTAGTGAATAAGTTTAATTTGRACCGACACAATTCTTCTCTTTTTGCACCCAAATGCAGACTTTCTCAGAAATGAGATGTGTGACTCTTGTACTTACAATCATATGAATTGCTAATTATTAACTATCATAATGTCTCAGACTTTTAATTCATAATCAATCAATGATTATAGTAGTCTTGGTCCWCTTAATTATTATGAACACGAAAATTAATSCTGATCAAAATTACACAAACTCAAAATTTTGGGGAAAAAATGTCCTTAGTTTGCAGGAGGCTTTGATGTAGAAAGCATGAAGGCTTTTGAAGAGCTGAGGAATCGTATCCATACAGAAGCAGGACAGAARCAATGAATTGAACATCATATTCTCCTCAGTTTCTTTTTTATTCTTATTCTTTTGAACTTTAGCTAATTACTTTGTAGTTTTAGTAGATTAATCTTCACCAAATTTATGTAATTAGAATAAGATCACATGTTGAATGAGAATGTTAATAATTGATCCCATGTTCTCTCATAAAGAGTAAAAGTTTATTATCATTTAATCAGAACTACAAATCTTATAATTTTTGGAATTTGTAATGGATAGCTAAAATATTGTCATGGTTACCAATATATCAACCAATTTTGAAATTTGTAAATATAGCAAAAATATTTTAAATCTGATTTTTGTATTTTTAGTTATTCTAATTCTACTTTCTCGTATTGATATAGCGGTGGTATATAAAATTAGGTATATCATTTACATATCAGATCAGATATACCATTGGTATATCATTAAAATACTGATTTACCTTGATGTATTACATACTAAGTGTTGATGTCGAAATTTGGTTGGTCTACATGTCCATCGATCGAGGGCAATCAGACAATCGATCGAGGGCAATCAGACAATCGATCGAGGGCAATCAGACAAGTTAACACTAATATTGAAGATGATGAAGATGATATGACTGTGGAAAAAGGGGTGGAATATCTACTTATTGGAGAGTGTACAAAATGAGATGATAATGTTGACATGTTAAGGGAAATTGAGGTTTTTGACCCCACCAATTGTTCAAATTGGATAAATGAACCCTTTTTAAAAAAACCTAATTTTTGACCCCAACTCCCTTTAATTTTAACCTCTCCCCAAGCTAATTTACTATAGTACCCTCATGTTTAAAAATGAAGGGAACTCCCTTCAAGTAAAACCCTAAACCCCATCTCGGACGTTTCCTGGCCCAACAAAAATTTCCACCCGATCTCGGACGTTTCCTTTGTCCTAAAACCCTAAACCCCATCCCGGATTGAACGTTATCTCGGACGTTGGACGAGTCATCCATCCCGGACCTTACGCTTCCAAGACTTTCTCTTCCATTGTTTCGCACTACGAAGTCATCAATCGCAAGGTTAGTGGTCGGGTAGATTATAACAAAATTTTTAGAAACATTTGTTGTTCTGATATCATTATCGGTGCTATCTGAAGCAACCATGTAGATCTAGGGTCATTTTCATGTTGTGCTTATAGGACTGAGAAATTTGGGGAAAAATGAATCTCGGATTCAATCCCATATTCAATCCCGGATGAATTTGGTTCAGGACAGAGTTCGGGATCGAAGCCGGGATCGAAATGACGTTTTGAGTTCCATCTCAGATGTTTGTCCCAGATCGATATCAATCCCGGATGAGGTTGGAATGCCTTTCGCAGCTTTTAGAAATAGTTCCTCGAGTGTCTTCGCATCGACTTTAAATTTTGCTAACAAGTTCGTCTTAATATGTTGTATACAAAAGCAATGAAATTTAGTGGGAAATATCTTGTCAATTGCCTTACAAATGGTTTGATGTCTATCGGAAACGAAAACCAAATTGTTCACTACGCCGAGCGCACCTTTTAATTGAGTCATAAACCATACCCATGATGCTACAGTCTCACCGTCGACAATAGCAAATGCAACTGGGTAAATCTGGTTATTCGCATTCGAACCAAAAGCTGTTAACAATACCCCCCTGAACTTCCCTTTTAGGTGCGCGCCGTCGACAACCAACACTGGTCGAATACAAGCCAGAAACCCTCTAATCAATTGACCCAAAGCCATAAAAACATATTTGAAATATTTTCCATCTTTGAGTTCAAATTCGAAAATAGTACTTGGGTTCATGATTTTTAATGCTTCACCATAAGCTGGTAGTAGACCGTATGACGATGTTGGATCCCCTCTAATAAGTCGAAGTGCTTCTTCATTGGACCGCCAAACTTTGTCATAACTTAAATTCACATCATACTCCTTCCTCATGTCTTGTATTATGTCCTTCGGTCTATACGTGCGAGAGACGTCTGTAAACTTCGCTTGGACAAGATGTTCGACCACCCAACTCTTAGCTTGCCTATGATCCTGTTTCAAAACTCCACCGTTGCATGTATGGATGTTATAATATTTTTTTTATCTTGAACAGATTGCAGTCCCTCAGCTTTGTAGCTCGAAGTCTCCAGGTGCAACTAGTATCAACGCAGCGTAGTATATATAGTTCCGGTGTCGACTTTTTTACTTGAAACTGAAAATTCAGCCGCATTGCAACTAAATGCATTATCAAATACTTCGCCCTCCTTAACATCATTTGTTCCAGAAGACTGTACTATGAGTTGCAACTTCTCATCATTAGGCTGTCCAGTGAGACCATCACACCCTATTTGTCGGACCGCTGCTTCGTCCCTACGAATCTCAGCTTGTACCTGTTCCACATCGGGCTCAGACTCTTCATCAAGTGCATCGTCATAGTCATCATTCACAAATTCTACTTCATAGTCTCCTTCTTCTGACTTTCCCAACGGGTCATATGATTCATCACTTTCATCTTGATTATCATTCCATAATCCCGGCACATTCCAATCACATACCCTGTCATCTCCTAGGTTACATGGAACAACATCTGATTCCAATGGTGTTAAACGCGCTATATCATGACCTAAATGCCCGTAATACGGGTGTGGTTGTTTGGAAGAAAAGGGGTTCGATGATGAGGAAGGAAATGAATGTATCGAATCTGTGGGTCTCTAAAATGGGGAATACAAGCTGTGGGCATACAACTCGAGGACACGTTTTGGCCTACATGATATGAGAAAGAAGGCATGTACGTTTCATTCTCATGTACCTACTTTGGCATAGTAGATATGTATATAGGCAATTCAGATACATCCTCACCAGTTAAAAAAAAATTCAGGTCATTGTCATCAGTTATCTCCATTACACAAACTTTAGTTTTAAAATGATATACGCGTCTAATTATAATATCGAACTGAATGAGATTTATATTACTCAATCTATACACGTGACCTAGAAATTCTCTGTACATGGTTGTACTATCCACTATCAATCCTATAGTGCGACCACCAACATAATTTTTTTCACTATCGTTCAATTCTCCACCAAATGTTATGAAAACACGAGGCATCCTGCAAATTGATAAAATCAAGTGAGCTAAGAATATCGTCCAAAAAAAGGTGGTAAAAAAAAAACAAAATACATGTCATCCTGGACCGTCTCGGACCAGTCTTGGTCCGAGACATATCCCGGACCAGTCTTGGTCCGAGACATATCCCGGACCACAGTGCTTCGAGATTGGTCCGGGATGTATCCCGGTTCACTCCCTAACCATCTTTCGATCCGGGATTGAACTTGGATTTGTCCGGGATTGAACATTCAATCCCGGATCTCGAAGCTTCAATCTCAGAAAAATACTTGATCTGGGATACCGACTGCATTTTTTTCTTTTTTTCAAGAAGCCAAATGAAAATGTATGAATGGAAAATATTTCAAATCATTTCAGAAATTTTAATGTTAACGTACCTCTAACTCTTCAAATGTGAAAATGTGGGACAACGATTTTAGATAGTGTGGGGACAATGATCAAACACGTGGCAATGTTTCTTTCTCGGATTTTAAAAAACGTGATCTGTGAGGAGTTTGGATGGTGTGAAAATTTTGGACTGTTTCAAATTCAAAGCATAAGTAAAATATGAGSTTAAAAGTTTGGTGAAATGGTTGGGTGGAAGTTATTGGGGAAGTTAATTAAGGGTATATTCGTCTTTTCACTAAAGGTGGGTTCAAAATTAAGTAGAGGTGGAGTCAAAAATTAGGTTTTTTTAAAAGGGGTTCATTTATCCAATTTGAACTATTGGTGGGGTCAAAAACCTCAATTTCCCACATGTTAGATTGATGGAAAGTCAACTCTTGGGTTCTTAGCAAGGTTGTATCTAGATATTTTAGCAATTTCAATGTTTAATGCCACTTTTAAGTCTACATTTAATACTAGTAGGAGAGTAATAGATTTTTTTCGCTAGCTCCACATTGCTCTATCTACCGTTGAGGCAGTTATTTGTGAGCAAAATTGACTATGCTCAAATGCTATCGGTGTTGTAGATTTCAAAAAGTGAAAGATTAGGAAGCAACAAACAATAACATGGACAAGTCTAACAAGGAGAAACAAAATGCTTCTTGAATTTTGAATATTACTGTTAAATATTTGCATATGACTTAAACTTATAATTTATTTTGGAAATTAACTACGGTTGTTTAGGTTGGGGTAGAGGTTCGAACTAAGGTCATGAATAGGTGCCTTAACCATTTGAGTTATACTCGATTTGGCGTACCAAAACTATTGTTGCTTAGATTTATGATATTATTGTAACTTTTAGATTTTGTTATGGACCTAGACTTATTAATTGACTTATTGACCTTTGATTTTGTTATAAATGTATTATTATATTATTATTGGATAATTGTTCTTTTAAAGATATACCTAAGGTCTCCCCCAATAATTTTGAGAAAATCAACAAATGGTTTATTGGATTGGATGAATTCATAATTAAATATTTTATTTTTAAAAAATAAACATTGTTGACTGAAAATTGCGAAAGAGAAGTAAGGAATAAGAGTAGGATGGTAAAAAAGTTCAATTACCATAATATAATTATAAAAATTGAGGGACAAAAGAAAAAGAAAAATTAGAAATTCATATAGCCGACCTGAATCGATAGAAAATCACCCCAAACCGAAGGAAAACAGATAAACTGACAAAAAACCAGCAAAAGCTAGCTTGAATCGCGCTAATCGGTTACCCGCTGGACCAAACCAATAAACCAACGGTTTATCAATTAGGTGCGGTTCGACTTTCAATTTCTAGCACTTTGGATCTAATTCCTGTTATTTTGTAATTTCTAATCGTTTGGCTTCGATTTTTGCTCCATAATCAAGCCAAATCAACCCGCTTGCACCCCTAATTAATTCATTGGTACTGATTGTTAATCACAATTAGTAGCATCGTCTATTGGCGGTTGTAGTTGTACTATGCATGGACACTTAATTAATAAAGAATTAAGTATAATCAGGAATGTGTTTGGTTGGTGTTCTGAAAATAGAAATATAAAAACAAGAAATTCAATGAAAAATAAAGTTGTATTTCATTTTTTTTTTATGTTTTCAAATATGTGTTTGGTATCAAATTTAGACATTGAATTTTAATTAAAAAATTTGTTAAAAAGTGTTCAGAACTATATTTATATACTATAGTTGTAATCGTAAACGAACAGTCTACCGCTCCACACACCTCCAAGCTCTCGCCGTCTGTCATGCCTTCAGTTTAACGACTCAAATTACTCCAATACGTTGCATTATGTTTGAATGATTGTCATCTSTAGCAGCAACCCACAATGGAATATATGGAAGAAAGTCATTGAATGCAATTCAATGACATCTCCATCTCATAATTGAATRTATGCAATCAGATCAACTTTGAATGCAATTAAATTTTGCCAAGGATATATCAATCACGTYTCCTCTTCCATCACACTGATGCATGTTTTAAGCCTCCATCTTGCGATAATCTAGTATCAATTAAACTCTTCAATTAATGACTGTAAGTAAACGTCGATATACTTTCCAGGTGACTTTGACCCAGGAATAAGCAATGACATTAATAAATTACTTTCCTTCATGTACTTACAAGGAGGCAAATTGTATGGAACAAGTACCACTGGCCACATGCTATACGAATTGTTCGTATTCCCAAACGGATTAAATCCATATGAAGCTAGTCCCAAACGGACATTTCGTGGGTCTAAAGCAAATCGAGGAAATGTGCTATCTAGATGCTTCTACCCCAAAGCGTCAGCTGGATGTCGTAAGATACCCTCTGTCTCAACTCTTTTTTCTTTATGTCACCTCATTTCAGAAACGAAATGTTTTGAAGAAAAGAACTGTTTCAATCTTGGTATTAATGGAAAATGTCGTAACACTTTTTTGGGGACTTATGAAGCTTTTCCATCACTGTTTTTATAATGAGATTMACCACATTTTGGACAACTTTGACATTCAGAATATTTTTTCTTGAATAATATACCGTCATACTTACAGGCATGTATGGACTCGTATGGACTCATATGAAAGTCSTAAATCACGCAGTCTCCTTTTAGCCTCGTATGATGTATTAGGTATAGATGCATCTATCGTAAATGTTTCATTTAATAATTCAAGTAACATATCAACAATTTATTACTCCAATTGTTAATGATCTTGATATGCATCAGCTTTACTAAAAAATTAAATGATGAAAATTTTGTACAAGTTGGGTACAATTGACTACGCGCTTCATTGAACAACTGCTCGAAATTGTTAGACGTGTCATTTCCATGTTCGTTTGGGGACGTCTCAAAACAAAATTGTTCACCTTCTACATTTTTTTCTACCATGGGGCACTATAAATCATTGAGAAGTCCAGACATATCACCATCCTCATTATAAATAACATTGTGTTCTCTACTTAATTCATTGTGCGAAGTAGTTTCACGTCTTGTATAACAACTTGAAGGGATTAGTTCCTCTCGATGGTATATCCATTGAGTATATGAATGTGATATTCCATTTATAAACAAATGTCTTTCTACTCTATCAATTGAAAACCACTTTACATTCATACAATATCTACATGGGCATCTTGTTTTTCCCGTATTGTTGACGTGAAGTTTTGCCAATTCTATGAAATGTTTTACTCCTTGAACATACTCGGGCGAGAATCTATCCCTAACCTTAATCCAATCCTTATTCATTCTCGATGATAATACTCTTTAAAAAACCTCCAATTCAGTATAAATGGTCAATGTTGAATCCTAAAAGAATCAAAACAAAAGATTAGGTTCATTTTGTCATCAACCTAAGGATATTTTGAAAATAGAAATATCTAAAATTTGTTTTCAAAGTGAGACGAGGATGCAAGGGTGTGGTCATTATTGTCGATTATG